GCTCCTTGTAAAATACATAAAAACAATAATTAGTACAATATAATAGCTTAGTATTACAATTACCACATGTCATATTATGGTTACGCCAATCAGCGCCATCTATTGGCTGATGACGGTCAACGCCGGCACCTACCATAATAACATAAATGAATCTTAGTAAATAGTATTTATTTTTAAACTGGTCGTTCTCGAGACTTGTTATAATGCAGGCCGAGGTACTTGGATGTAAGGAATACTAATTACTGTACTGTACTGTTTGGTTATATAAATGGCGTGTGTTGATTGTTTTGTTTGTTACTACGACGATCCTAAAGGTATTAAACTATGAAATGTATTGAACAAATCTATATAATTTCGTATGCGTTTCTTCTAAAGCGATAGATTACAATGAACTTGTTTTCGACCTGTACTAAAATCTGATTATTAACTCCCGACCAGCTTCAAATTCAAAACTACCCGCAATTAATATACTACGCGATGTCGTATGCAAGTAAGTTGCGGCTGAAACACCAAAATTCTAAAACAATCAAAACTACTAACAACCACGGATTTCACTTCAACTTTTAATTAATTGACAAATTGCTATGTAGGTAGAAAATTTACTCTGTAACTTCAAAGTTATTTAAAAGTTAAATTAATTATTTTTAAATCAATAATACCATACTTATCTGAAAGACTTATAATGATTGAAACATGTTAAATAACGTACATTTAATAAATTAATCAAAAATATACCTGGAAATAGAAAATTTACTAAAACATAATGATATAATATTAAATCTACGTGGAAGTAATTTGCGTTTTAACGAATTGGTTTTTATTACACGAACCTGGAGGTAGATCTTCTAGGAATTGGCGCGTTCATTAATTACATACTTCTTATAGTAAAGTCGAAAATATTTGTATAGTCTAATTCCGTATATTATCTAACTGTTAGCCATGTTAATTACAAGATGGGCTAAAATCACCTTATAATTTCATTATATAGGTTATCATGATATAAGTATCGTGTAGTATGTGGCCTATAACATCCTTTGACTAATGGGGCGTATAACATTTTTCACATCGGATCGATAGACCTTGAGGTTGAAACCTAAAACTTTCATTATGAAGACGGCTAACGTTTTTTATTGTGTATTATTGATTGATCTCGTCATACAAGGACAATAGTATCGCTTACAATACACGTATTATACTTTGGAAGTAATATTAAAATAAAGAAACAGATGTATTGTGAAAACTAATAGATTTAGACATATTTCGGAGAACAGTACTCTCATGCTTGAGGAGAAAACGTATGAAATGTTCCACATACAAGATAATGTATTCAGAAAGATAAATCATGAAAAGAGCATTAAAATACATAATAAAAATAAAACCTAAATTATATCACAATGAGAAAACAAAATGAATTACTCTTTCTTATATAACAATATACAAGTACATAATACACAAAAGTACATAATTCTAATTAGATATAAAGTTTTATTTCAACATTGAGTTTCGTTAAAACGAGACACACAAGCTTCTCAAATTACGAAGACCTTGCGAAGGACGGCGCGAGGCTTCGTGACTACGGATTAATGTAATAAAAAACAGTTTTTTAATCACTAATATCATATAACGTTAACGCGATACAGAACGTGATGTATGTCCAAAATGAACCGCCAACATTACTCCATTCTGACAGACAACTGCAAGTTCTGATAGTAATATTTGTCTAACTAAACTCTCTGACTTCGATAACTAAGCACTGTTTCTCTTCACTATACAAGCATCTGTACTGAACTCAGCATTCCACTCAAACCCCTTTAAAGTTTTCAACAATCCTAGTTAGTGGAATCCTATGTTAACACTATATCATACATCTGTACGTTTGTCGAGGATCGAGTTATGGAGTTAAGTCTCCAAGTTCGTGTTTAACAAGTTTAGTTTAAATATGAATCGTTATTCTACCCTACAACTACAAATTAAGTCTGACTAACTAAATAGATACTATAATTATATGTGCTGTCATAACACAATACTTCGAATGTAACACTTTGTCGTGTATTTGATTTGGAAGATAAAAAACTATCATAGCATTATTCTAAATAAGAATATTCTTGGTAAACCTAAGCTAAAAACAGTCGCCATTAGAAAACGCTCAGTACGATCGAGTACAAATGCGAAACTTAAAACGTCTTTAGAATATGTCTAACCATATAAATTAGGCAAATTATTGTAATGAATACAAATAGTACTGAAAAAAACCCACTGTGATCTCTTACAGTCTTGACCGCTTAACTATAACAAATTATATAATAATGTACAAACGGTGTATTTTATATCCACATTCAACTCAAGACACACTACCTATATTTCACCTACAGCTTGTAAAAAAAAACATCTTTGTTTCTAAAGCAACCACTTCATGAGGACTGTACCGGAATCCTGATAATTTAATAAACTATCATTATTATAAATAACTTCATATGTAAGAAGTTCACAGAACACTCCAGGTAATGTTACTTCTAACAAATAGATAGAGGTATATTAATCATAAGAAACAATTGTACAATTTAAATGGAGAGTCAATATAAGAATGAGCATGGATCACATTTCAAATATAACAAGCAAGTATTCAAGTTGTCTTAGATATAAATCTTGTAACATTAAATTACATATCAATTGTATATTATTATACAATACATACACTTATTTTGAATCTAAGCCAAACATCAAATAATAAAAAATAATTATCATTTCAAGTACTTATATGACACTTTCTATCATGAATATCTACTCATGTATTTAAATTAATAACTGCCATGTCAATAGTAAAAAATATACCTCATTTTTATATCATCTCAATCTAAAATATTTGAGTCTAATGGAACTGCAATCCTATAAGGTCAAAAAAAGACTTTCTTGTAGACAAGACTTATGACCTATTAGCTCAGATTTCTTTTTGTACAGAAAATTCATTCATTTGTTCCTTTAATATTTAAAATTATTGATGAAGCAGGGCAGATAGTATCAGTATTAGAGACAATGCATTTGATATTTAACTTTTAAGCATAAAAAAGATAGCAAACGGTTTTATACTTTAGCCAAAATTCTATTACATCCCAAGTTTTCTAATAATCATAATACTACCCACCACATGGCAAATATTAAATATTACTTCTCCATATTATGTTTATTTGTGGTGTTCAAGAAACAGAAAACAATAGAATATTAATGTGTTAAATATTCGGCCATGTTGCTGTAACGGCTTGGCTTATGGTAATCAAAAATTGGTCAAATGTCAGTCAACTAACAAAACTTGTTACATAATATGCTGATGAAACAAATGGATGAAGTAAACTAACAATATATTAAATAATCATTGAACTAAAATAACAATTAAAAATCATATACAAAATTATAGCATAAGCAAAATCTTTAAGATTCATTATGGTAGTAATCTATGTCAGTTGTATTTTGAATAATTACTTTAGAATGCTGACATCATCACAAATGTTAACAATAAATTTTTGAGTCTGAATGTTTTACCTACCCTCATTTTTGTCTAAATGATGATTTGCATAAAATGAGAAAGTGGAATATTTTAGCGTTTCCCAAAGCATTTTCAATGTTTAGAATATAGGTTTGTATACAAATAAGAGGCAGACTTTGTACTTTCCACCACTTGAGAGGCCAATTCAAGATATAAATCTTATAAGCAACTAGTCCATGCTTAATTTTATAATAAACTTTGAAGGTATTAGAACAATACAATAGTGGGACGGATCATAATTACTGATATTTAAGCATTTAACGAAGACAGTGACCATAACGATAACATTTTTGAGGCCCAAGGTTAAAATAAAGAGTGTCTCACAAGAACAACTGCTGTCAACTTTTAAATGCAATATTGAATGCGCAATAACAACTCACCTGGTTCCACTCTTCCGGCGCCTCAACTTAGCAGCGTAATTCAGGTGAAGAAGTTCAAAACCGCTCAGATTGATCACTACAAGAGGCTACATATAATTTTCTTATCACCCAAAAAGCAATACCAGCAAATGGAACAACGGCGAAAAACATAGTACAGAATACACGAAATAGAAAATGTATTACACGTTTGAGGAAAAGAGACGGAAAATTTATTATAAATGTCGCATAGACAAGATCAGCTGTTGACAAAACATTAATTTGACAACCTTGTGTAAATATGGCAATATCAAGCTGCACTGTGGCGAAAGGAATCTATTTTTTTTTATAAATTTCCTTTATTAAAAATCAAATCTATTTGTTTCTGTAAAATTTTATTGGGTATGTATTTCTTATTAATTCCAGAATCTAAATCATGCTGATGTGTATGGAATAAATTTTTAATAATTAATATATTTTTAAATATAATGAAGTTTAAAAGTTTTGTATATAAACAGCAAAAAACTTTTGTTTTACAACACTATTCCCTTATTTTTTATTAAAACTTAATTGTACTCCTGTGCAATCAAAATAATTGTTCTTAAATTATTTTAATAGAAAAAAGGGCATTCATTGATAAATTTTTTAGCCATTTAGCACTGGTAACTTTTATTGGAAGAAATTATTTACACAGATATATTTAAATATTATGTTCTAAGAAACACCAATTAAGCTAATACGTACCAGAGACAAATCTATCTGAGAATACAGATTAAAAATGATTACAATTTTCTATTGTCAATCAATAAAAAAAATATTTTTATTCTTTCAGATTATTACTATTGCTGTAAAAAATAATTCAAATTAAACGGAGCCTTACACATTTAGATGTGAAAATAAAATAAAGTAGGGTATTCTAATACAGGTGCAAACACGGTGAGGTAAAATCTAATAGTTCGATTGAAATTTGAATCGAGTACTCACATTCTTTCCTGGCTATGGATGTTACTATTAACCTTTCGTCATTGTGATTTGTGGATAATTACTATTTTCTATTACAAAAGTGTCAGTGAAATAATAAAATAAGTGCCGACAAAATTAATATGGCCAAGGAAGAGGATGACGATAATTTGCCTGATAAAGACGCAGCGAAGGAATTCTATGCAAAATATGAACCTAAAGAAATAATTGGCAGGTTCGTTTGTGTTTCGATGTTTCTACAGACGTCTTTAACATTTATCTTTAGCTAATGAATTGACTTCATGCCAACTTATACGACTATCAGGGGTTTAAAGGTTTCTAATAGCTACGACGTTTTAAAATTTTTTGTGACCTTGACATAGTAAAAATTATTATGCTAATGAAAATATATCTGCTTTGATAACTCCGTTCGCTTTCGCGAACAGGACAACTATAGCAATGTTACTTAAACCATATGCTATTCCTTAATTACCATTGATTATTATCAGCTTATTAGCTGGGTCAATAAAAGTAATATTTTGTTAGAGGTATAAGTTCTACAGTCAGAAGATGTGTGGAGAAGGAGACGGGCAAGGAGTACGCCGTGAAGATCATAGACCTGAGTCAGGAGTCCCAGGATGGGGTGGACACACACACTATGAGAGACGCCACGCGCCAGGAGGTCAACATACTGAGGATGGTGGCCGGGCATCCTTATATTAGTGAGTGAGTTTGATACACACTCACTATCATTAACATTATATCATTCAGGCTTCGTCATTATCGACATCAGCCTATTAGAGAACACCGCCGAGCAAAGCTCTTCTTATATGGAGAAGATTAGAGTATTAACCACCACACTTGCTCAAAACGGGTTGATAATTTCAAACTTATGATTGTGAAATCATAAAGTCTGATTCCTCACAATGTTATCCTTCATCTGTCAGTGGTGTCTAAATACTCTTAGAAAGTACATATGACTTGGGAACATAACATTGGTACTTATCTGGTTTCGAACCCGAGCCCTCAGGCGCTAGAGGCGGGTCTTTAACCATTAGGCTACCACTGACATTCAAGCTTAATAATTACAAAATAAACAATTGCAATTCATGTTTCATTGCTCTAAATTGCATATATTGCTATAATATATAATGTTTATTCTTATAATAATTGTTATCATTTGATCTATTCATTTCCAGTTGAACTCCAAGATGTGTTTGAATCGGAGACATTTATATTTCTGGTGTTTGAGTTGTGCAAGAACGGAGAGTTGTTTGACTACCTCACATCAGTCGTTACATTGTCGGAGAAGAAAACAAGATACATCATGAGGTAAGAATCCAAAATACCATCCCTGAATAAATATACATAATATAAATATATGTTTAAATATTGCGCAGCGAAATATATAGTAATTTTCATTTAGTTGTATGTATTTGTTAGTAAGCTAGCGATTTTAACATGAGAGGATGTTAGTCATTATTTAATATTGACTAGATGCAGGTACGAGGTCGGGAATAAACAGTCAATATGTAAAACATATAACCATTGCTTGGAGTTATATTAAGTTATAAATCATTCCAATAATGTTATGTATTTTTGGTAAACAGACTTTGGCTATGCATTTTTCGTAAATATAAAAGTTGTAATTAATATCAGTCTTTAAAACCATAATTAAGTTGAAATGATCTATCCACCACTAAACATGAATATTTTGATACTGCACTTCATAGATTACTTATACTTAATAAACCCAGTGAGAGTTGGGTTGCGAGCTAGTGTAAGATGAGTTAAAATTAAACAATAAACATAATATACATTACTATATATATGTATGAGATGTCTATGCAACTTAATGTTTCAATTCAAGATTCCTGTCTTTTTGAAAGCATTAGTGTTTTCTATTGTATCTTAATATAATTTAAATCAAAATCAAAACTTAAAGAAGAAAATGTCACAGTTAATGATGAAAGCTGAGTTTAATGCTATTTATTATAATTATTCTCTTATAAATAGAAGTAAATTTACAAAGTTGTATACTATATGTACTGAATTAAGTTTATTTATATTAATGTTCCTATATTAAATATATTTTATTGTGTGTTATATTAACCAGACAGGTGCTGGAAGGTGTCCGTTCCATCCACAGTCATGGCATCGTCCACAGAGACCTCAAACCGGAGAACATACTACTCGACGACCAGCTCAATGTAAAGATTACTGACTTTGGATTTGCTAGGATGCTGCAGAGAGGGGAGAAACTATTTGGTCAGTAACTATATGTTTGATATATATACCTTAATATTAAATTTATTACTCATTCATGTATATGATAATGTATTTGATTGTTTATATATATGTCCGACTTTAAATTCACTAAGTTTATATTGACGTTATATATTTCAGAGCTATGCGGTACTCCCGGTTACCTTGCTCCTGAAACATTGAAGGCCAATATGTTTGAAGACGCCCCGGGATATGGGATGGAGGTTGATATGTGAGTGTACATCAGGACATATAATAATTTAGATACAGTATAATCCCTTAGACTTAAGCTGAGCTTTGCATTTGGGGAGTGAAAGTAAAAGTAGAGTTAGACAAAAAACTTTTAAAATTCAATTTTATTATATTTTAAATGGACACATAACACAAGTGCTATAAAATAAGCAAAACTTGTAAAAGGCCAGATGGAAATGAATATTATGAATATTAAGGAAAAAAAAATTATTGATTAATAACAATTTTGAAAAAACTATACAAATTCTTATTCACTTGACATTGCACTTTCAACATTTGAAGTTGCTATCAGTACAAACCGTGAAGTGAGGAAGGTGCGGGGCCGAGTAAAAACAGTATAAACGGTTTCAGAACTAGAATAGAACATGGCATTCAAAAATTTGACATCACACCTACACTATCCATGTGCACTTGTACAAATGCAAAGCTCAGCTTAAATCAAACACACTATAATATGTTGTCTTCATTAATATTATATTATATTTGTATGAAGATAATTATTTTATGTGATATTTTATTTCACAGATGGGCCTGTGGTGTTATAATGTTCACTTTGTGAGTACTATTATAATGCTAGATATATTTGTTAATGTTAGAGAATAAGTTTGTTTGTATTTTGTATGTTGTAGACTGGTGGGTTGTCCACCGTTCTGGCATCGGAAGCAGATGGTGATGTTAAGGAACATTATGGAGGGGAGATACTCCTTCACCAGCCCCGAGTGGGCTGATATATCAGGTATTAGAAACAACTGTTTGTATCACATACATTATAGAGATGAATGTTTGATAAGTTTATTGTTTCAGAGGATCCAAAGGATTTAATTCGCCGCCTGCTGGTCGTTGACCCCGCTCAGAGGATCGGTTTAGAGGATGCTTTAACACACCAGTTCTTCCACACTAAAGTATGTGACGTCACACACTATAAGTACACATCACACAAGTATAATGTACCAATACTTGTATGGATTGTTCAATATATATTATATTAGCACAGCGCTTGTTCTCAACATGTAGTAAGCTTATACTCAATGCTGTTTTGTTCACGATCTCTTACTATGATTTGTATTTTGTACACTCGCTTTGTATACCAGCTTATGTGAATAACGTACAATGCAGAGTACGTGCTAGTAGCCTCTGAGTACACGAGGAGTGTGTTTGTATATAAGTGATATATCTGATGGCATGTTTTGATGTTCCGTGTTAGCTTTGGGACCAGGACATGACCCCACTGAAGAGGTCCTTGTCAGGTACCAGCAGGAAAATGTCCAGGATCGACCAGATAGCCATGGTATGGGAATGTATTATGATATTACACAGGGGGCTCACAGATAAACACTCTAACTATAGTGTAGTGTCAATAGTAATGCTAGTGAGTAGTGCATGCCTGTAGTGATGCAATAAGTCACTTCATGATACTAACATATACTGCAATACTTTTATAATAATGTTTAGTTGTGTCTAACAATTCCAGTTTCTGACCATACCATATTATACCCTCAATAACTGAATTCCGTTGAACACTAATGCTGAATATAAATAGATACTAACACATCTTCTCTATAACTAACATTAGTATAACATAGCAGTCTTATAAAATTTAATGTACCAACTCCCACACATTAACCATTAGCTATATCTATCAAGTTTTGGGTTATATGAATAAGGACAACGAGACAAGATAAACAATGTAAACATTTGTTTTTTATTCCCATGTGTTGTGTAGTCGTTGAAGTCAGGCGCGTGCACGCCTCGTTCTCGTCTCCGTGTCACGCTGCTCGTAGTGCTGTCAGCTGTTCGTCTGAGACGTCTGCCGCACGCTGCTGCTCGCTCACTGCCGCTGGCTGACGCTGAGAGTGATCCCTATAGCGTCAGGCTGCTCAGAAAGGTATATATATACATACAAGTTATCTATAGGCCGCTCAGAGTATGTGTTACTAACATGATATGACCTTGAAACGAGTCAGTCGAAGTGCGACGTTTAAAAATTTAGTAAAAGTAAATATGCAGAATAATGCACTGCAACTTCTATCACGACCTGTCAGAAATGTAAACCCACAGTAACAAACTAGTATTGTTTTCTATATACATATATATATGTTAATTATCCACCAGGTAATAGACGGGTGCGCGTTCCGTGTGTACGGTCACTGGGTGAAGAAAGGCGAGGGTCAGAACAGAGCGGCCTTGTTCGAGAACACGCCGCGGACGGAACTGAAGAGTCTGTACGTTAGCAACCTGAGTCGATGAGACATACACACAAACACACAGACATACACATACACACACACGATCGACCCTAGGTTAGTGTTAGACAAATATGTATCTATATATGATGCTCCCAACAATGCAACGAGGAAATAATCTCAGTCATAAGGGAATCATATTATAATATGTAACTAAGCAATAATTATTATTATATATAGTACCTAATGAAATATATATGTAACGTTGTATGTATGTTGATAACGATAAATTATTTTTATATCTGAAATTTAGTGTAATATGTAAAAAAAGTTCACAAAAATATTGTTTATACAAGATCAATGTTAGTAAATATTTTGAAATATATGGTGTTATAGTGTAGAGAAATAGTAAGCAAAAATGTTTAAATTGTTTTATCATATTTTGTATGGAAGTGAAGTTTTTTTATATGTGTGTGATCCCATACATTCTGACATGTATTGTGTAACAACTAACAAACCTACCTGATAGAAGTGATGTCTTAAGAATTGGTCAGTAACATTTTTAACGAAAATAAATGGTAATATGTATTTGTAGAAAGTTAGCTGTGTTCGTTTGTTGTAATACATATATCTGTGGTGCACATTTTTTTATTACTCTAATTTATAAACTATTTCACGTATTTGTCAAGCCAACACAATATCGCACGTTATTGATGAATACAACGAAAGTTTTTCCGTGTTCCTGTATTAACTCTGTTTTGTATTGAATTTCCCTCTTTTCGTAACTTTCAACTCATACGAGATAACTTCTTTAGGATAGGCTTATAAATCATGAGTACCTTATATATACCATATATATTATATAAATATATTATACTTGTTATAAATAGTTCCTAGTAAGTTTTGTTTTTCTTGTTTCTTGTAGAAATAAAACACTTGTGTAAAAGTTGTGTAATTTATTTAGTCACCTACAATCATTACAATTCATTAAATAGATGTTCATACATTGAAAGGCTTGTATGAAAAGCGCGCCATTCAATATGATATCAATTGAACGTTTTAGGAGTGGGAAGTAACGTGCTCCAAGTGGTTTATTCACGTGAAAGTATCGAACAAGGATGTGTCAATAGTGACTCGTTATACACAGCACACACACAAACGGCAAACATGATCTTTATACACACACACACACACACACACAGAGAGATACGGGGCGAACGTTCCACGTCGTAGATCGAAAATGACTGCGAACTGTTTAGAATGAAGAATGACAAGATGACGGCTGTGATGGAGGATGAGGAGGAAGGAGGAGAGAAGAGGCACGTGCGGGACTAGTGAGCCGTCACTACGGAGAGAACACGGGAACAGATTACACGCTACAGACAATAAACAAAGCGCGCCGCGTCACAAGCACTCCCCGCCACCCGCGCATCGATCGCATTCAACAACCGGCCGCTGTGATTGGTCGATACGGCGGCCACGTGATGCGCGCGCAGCCCGCCGATTGGCCCCCGCGAGGCTCGGCCACGTGAGTCGCCGGCGGGCGCGTGGCCGGCCGCCAGTCGCGGCGTGACAGCGGGCGCGCCTGGACCGCGCGGGCCGTGCCGCCTGCCGCTACCCGCCTGCCGTCCGCCGCCCGCCGCCATGAGCCTCCTCGATACGCTGCTGGAGGCGGCGCGCTTCATCGAGCTGCAGGAGCGGCGCCTCCGGGCCGGTAAGTGAGCGCCGGCCCGCGCCCGTCGCCCGCCGCCCTCGACCTTGAGCCCGCCCCGCCCCACGTAAACAAAGGAACTCCGCGTACACCCGCTCGCCCCCCGCCCCTCCCACCCCGGCTGGCGAATGCTCCTTGTTAGTTGTTCCTAGTGTCGTTCGGTGGTAGTGTCGAGTGGTGGTGACGTCACCTCTCCCTGTGGTGGACGCTCAGCTCGGTCAGCTGATCGACTCGTGTCGCCGTGCAGCGGGCCGCGGGCGAGGGGGGCGAGGGGCGAGGGTGAGGTACGTGGAGGTGTGAGGGGAGGGCGGCGGCCGCGGTCGCCATGCGCACGCGCATCCTGTTCTATACCGCCTCGTACATGTAACACATACCACAATACATACAACATATAAGACGTATAACATAAAGAGATACCTATTAGCTATTACCCATCAGACTGTTCTCGTCCTGATCTTCATCCCCCTCACGTCTGTTCTCCTGGTACAAGTTGTACCTGTATAAGATGAACAGAACATACTCTACCGACACTCGGAGACATATAACATATAATAATGAGATGTATATAATAGTATAGTCAACTTGTTCTGTGCTGTGCCGTGCTGTGTGTGCATGTTCGTCTGTGTAACGGTCCGCGAGTCGTTTTCTCTTGTGACGTCGCGCGGCCCACATCTAGAACATAACGAGCGGACGTCGCTCGAATATAATGTAATATGTTAGCATCGCCTTGTATATAACGACCGTGTCCTGGCTGACTGTCCGGTCGCTCGGAGCGCTGTCCGGGGGCCGGGGGGAGGGGAGGGGGGCTGCACGGTGCACTGTGCACGGACCCAAGGTCGACGGACGCACGCATGCGCGGACCCCGGGACCCTACACACACATACACACATACTAGAGACGGACGGACTGACACAGATATTGTTAGGAGATGACCGCGACAGCGACCTGCTGGTGGTGGTTATGGTGACGATGGTGGTGGTGGTGGTAGTGTCGTAGTATATCACAAACATTGTAGTCGTTGGCGCTCTATCGTTCTGCGTGAGTGTGTCTATGTGTGTGTGTGTATGAGTGTGCTCCACACCCCCCCGCTCCCCGCCCCGCTAGTAGCCGCTCGCCCTCCGCGGACCGCGCGTCAGTCGGTCGCGGAGCGCGGTCCGTGTCAGTAGTTTCTCTCGCCGCCTGTCAGTGTACAGCCCTCGTGTTCGCGGGAGCCCCGCCGGCTGCGTGTATTAATAGCGGTCGTTATCACGGCGACCTCGAGGACGAGCCGAGACGCCGCGAGGTCGCCGCCACCTGCGCGCCTCTCGCCCCCTCCCCCCGCCCCCTCCTCGTCCTCGTCCTCTCATCTGTTCATCGTCAGCTCGGTTCTCTTACAACGGTAATATACCAACCACTGTTTTTGTTCCCCCTACCATCCCGTATGTCGTAGTGAGTGTTCGGTCTCCACCTTTGTTTATATTTTCTTCTGCTCCCCCGCCCTCTATCTCTGTCTGTCATATGTCTGATGGACTGATTCTCACCTTCATCTCTCTCCTATATATGTATGTATGTTCCTCATCAGCCCCGTGTCCTCGTGTTCTCTCTTCTCTCCCCGTCCATCACACTAGTAGTATAGTATATAAGGTCAGTGTTACGAGGAGGCGACTAGTTTCAGGACACACCATGATCGTACTGTGTACGGTGTCACCCTCCCCCCGTCCCCCGCCCCTCGCCCCCCTCCACCTCCGCAGTAATATATATTCGTCCTGTGTTTTGATTACCATAATGTGTAAACATGAGGTAACGGTGAGTCCGCGCCCTCATTGTAAACGATGTATGCGTTACCATCGAACACTCCACGCGGCTCTCGGCGGCTTGATTGTGTATTACGTAACACGTACATACACACAGAGAGACATACACACACACACGCGGTACACGTGTCCGCCGCACATGAGTTATGTAATAATTACTAAACAGAGACACGCACACAAACACACACACACACACACACACATACATACAGTCGTTCTAACACTATGCAGAGGTAGGTTTTCGTAGTCGCAGATTTGATAATAACAAACATCTCACGACTCTCCGACACTGCAGAAGTTACACATCTTAAAATTAGAACTTGGAATCGATCGCACTGGACGTACGGACAGACGGACGGGGTACTAGCGAGGTACACCTCGGCTTGGAGAGACCCCGTGACGTCACGGACTAGTGACCCACGAGCGGCCTCCTCCTGGCTTACGAGCTGCAGGTGTCAGACACACAGACGTACTCCAAACACAGACAAGATACGAGCGACACACGGGCGGGGACATACAAGACAAATATGACATACATACATACAGACATACGGAAAACACACTACACACGGACAAACACACCGCACACGGGACACGTGCCACACACTGACAATTAATAAACCGCACACGAGACACATGCGACACATGGTAAGACACTCGAGATTCAAGCGACACGCAGGCGGACATACTCTAGACATACGGAACTTGCGCGACACACGGACACACGCACAGACACGATCGCCCAACTATCAGCTGTCACTTGCCATCCGCCAGACGCCACCTGCTGTCCCGTGTGTCACGTAATGTTCTCTCATATCGGTGTCACCGTCGCCTTTCGTGTGTGTATGTATGTGTCTGCGCGTGTCCTGTACTAGACCCAGTGAACTATCTCTGTATGGCAGTAGTCGCCGTCGGTCGTGTCACGTACCAGGGCGACATCGCCGTGTCGGAGGTTCGGATCGCTCGTGACTGTTTCTCCTCGTCAGCCGAGCCTCACGGTGCGGGGCGCGGGGTGCGGAGGGGCTCCGTATCGCCGGTGCACGTGTCCCCACTGGCCCGCTCCCCCCGTCCTTCCGTCCGCTCTAATCATCCGTCTCTGTCTCTCTCACGGTGCGGTCCGCCGCCCCCTTTCTCTGCCTCGCTCTGTCCCGCCCCTTCCCCGCGCCCCGGCCCACCGGTCGTCTGTGTCGGGCGCTCCGTCTGTTATTTCTATATCAGTCGCTTGCCGTCCGCGCCGCTGTCGGCGAGCTCTCCCCTCCTCCCGGCCCCCCCTGCCCCCGCACTGTGTCACCCGCGCCCCTGGTTCGCCCGACAGGTCCGGCGTCGAGTCCCACGTGCGGAATCGGTGATAACGGTCGGAGTATGATAACGCGGATCGGTGTAGCGTAGAGGAGACTCGGCCCGGGACGGAGGATGGGCGTACTCATGGAGGCCGGGGAAGAGGACTCGGTCGCCGGGGAGACGAGGAGGAGGCGGGCCGGACCGGGGCCGGCTCGCTCCCGGCTCGGAGAGGACAGAGTCGCGAGACCGCCCAAGAAGAAGTGGATCGAGGAGTACCTAGGTGAGTCGGAGGATACACGGCACAGCGGCGGAGGGCTGTCATACGACTCTACTCACCGGAGAGAAGTGTATCGACACACACACACACACACACACAGACACACATACACACACACATACGCAGTATTACTAATGTTAGATGGATGAATCAAAATGTTTGGTTATTAAATAATAAGTTTATGTTTACTGTGAGATACACGGGGACCAGGGCAGCATGAGCGGACGGCAGGTGGTGGATGGTAGGCGGTGGTGAGTGATGGGTGATGGGTCGCGCCCGTCGAGCCGAGGCGAACGAGGTCGCTCTGTGTATTGTTTTCGCGTGTTCATGGTTCACGCACTGACGCTCACTGCGTGCCTCTCTGACCCCGTGCTCGACAACATATAAACTCCATCAGCCGTCTGCGTCCCTGGTCCTCCCAGGCAAGCGACCGGCGACGTGACCATGGCGTACCGTACCGTGTCGTATCGTATCATATTATTATATCGTATTGTATCATAATGAACGATCGACGGCTCATGAATGAGACGGCTTCCAACTTTCTATGTTCCGTTAACGTTTGCAAATCGTCAGTGAGGTCACCACCGTTCACTGAACGCCGCGAGACACGTGTACCGAGCGACTCGCGTCACACGCACACACCCGCACACACACACACACACGCACACAGACACATACATAATATACATATACACATACGCACGCAAATCATCCTCGGTGGACTGACACTGCTGCCGCAGAGCCATCTCCACCCTGACCAGGCTGGTGGCTCGCCAAGCGCCGCCATCTTGGTGCATGCCAGTGAGCGGCGTGAGGTCGTTGACCCGCTCGGCTGTGATAATACATTCATGATAAACTAATTAATACATTCCGCGGCTCGATCTCCGCTCTGTCTCCAGGAGACCGTCTTCTCCTACCGGGTCACAAACCATGAGCTGGTCTCTCCGACCTCCCTCACGGAGCCTGCTGGCCCTCACACATCACACATGTATTATGTAATATATATATGTATATATATATATAATGAACTTAATGTGAGCGAGTGAGCGTCGGTCCGTCCTATCCCTCCGCCGCATGGAGGTCGCGAGCCGCGAGCGCGCCACGTTGCGCAAAAACGACCAGGAGTGCAGCGGTGCGGAGGAGTCGCGGGAGGAGCGCGTACAGTGTACGGCGCGGGAGGAGTGCAGCCCGCTGGGTGTGCGACCGTACGTGACGTCACCGGCGCCCTCCACGTTCCATGGAACGGTTTCACTTTCATACTTTGTGTAGAGCCGATGATAGAGATAATGTAGAATGTGCGTCTAAGTAGTTCCGAGGACACCGACCATACATCATATACACAGCGCGTGTACTCCGCTCGAGGAACGGCAAGGGCATCTTTTTATTTCGGCTTAACATCATATCAAGTCAACACATACACATACACCGTACACATCACACTACACCGTACCACAGAAATGTAGTGGTTTCCTTTTTAGTGTACAAGTACATACTTCTCTTTGTTTAATCACACGCACAAGGTTGCAAAAATCTACCTCTAGCTATGTTTATATTACTGATACAGTGTTGTAACATATCGCACAAGGGTTATACTAGGAGTGCAGGAATGACGAGGAGTAGGTACCGCGATATGAATATCACGAGTTACACACATTAAGTGAGAAGTCAAGACAATGTCATTTATACAATGGGGAAACGTTCAAATATATTGTGGTGCTCTAAATATATTTTTGTATTGAATCTATCGAGTCATCCACTGTATGTATATTTGTTATGTAACGCGAAAGCGAATGTCCACAAATATGCGAATATCAGCGAATGCGACTGCGAATTTTCCTTACATATGTAACGTGTAGCGTACCCATTTCAGGTCGACAGTCGACACACACATACGCAATGTGTGTTCTCTAATATATGTAAATATTTGCCTTTTTTGTACGTTGATGATTATTTTTTGTTTTGTTTGTTGTGTCGAATTTGTGATGTTGATTTTATTTATATTATATATTCCATTCAGTATTCCTTGCCATGTATTTTCTTTTTATAAAAATTACAAGGCTGTGACGATGTTTTAGTCACAAGAGTTATCGAATGTGATTCTTGTTTAATTCAACAAGTTACTATTTATGTCTTCATACTGATAAAATAACTATGACCATTACACACTACACCACGTTATTACACTATTTACTTAGAAATTATTATTTACTAAGTAACGTTTGATATGTAGCTGTCAGTTACATATGTTTCGAGTCTACTCCATTACAACAATCAGCTGACGTTCGCGCGTGGACTGCACGCGTCACGGTCACCGAACGTCATTCACTGACCACGCCCACATCGGACGTCTCACTCACACCTCACAGATACAGCGCATGTGTGAGCGATGCGGAGATAGCAGAATGGGTCGTTGGGTCTAATGTAACATTAACCTTATGACGTACGCAATGGAGTCGTTTTTGCTGTAGTAGTTATATAACGCAGGGTCGTGGTTCCGTCCTTGTCCCGCTCCCTCGTGACTAGTTTTCGCCGTCTCTTTCTGTCTGTGTATGTGTTGTGTGTAACCTCGGTTGGCACGAGTGTCTCCGCCACGTGTATGATCTCCTGGTATTTTACCGCCACCGCCACGCCACCGCCGCGGACGAGCGAGCGAGTGAATGACGCGGCCCCGTCTGTTTACAGAGGAGGAGCCCGAGACGCCGTTGTCGCTGAGACTCACCGGGGTATCCGTGAGGCCCTTGACGCCGCCCGCCCCCGCCCCCGCCCCCGCCGCCGCCGCTGCAGCCGCCCGCCCCGCACCACCGGCACCCCCCCCCCCCCGCCCCCGCCGCGCCGCCCGCCCCGGCGCCCCCGGAGCCTGCAGCCGCTGCCCCCGCGCCCCTCGCCTTCCCGCCTCACCCGGGGCCCCTTGACTTCGTACAGGAACATTCCAGGCCGCGACACACGAACGGTCACGGGTGAGTTATGTTCTCCTGGTAGTAGAGACGACGATAACAGCTGGATCTCCTCGCGTCAGAGGATGATGATGGATCTGTGCGTGTGTATGTGTGTGTGTGTGTGTCTGTGTGTGTGTGTGTGTGTGTATCCTCACAGGCCACAGGCCAGGTGCAGGTCCTATCCCACTCTGTATTCAATGTGATGTAAGGAGGTCGTCACCGTATCCCTAATGCCCTCCTCGTCCTCGTCCTCGTCCTCACCTCATACAATAAACATTAATTCTATCTTACTACGTATATGTATATACCCTACATAATGAATCCTGGGTTCGTGTGTGTATCTGTGTGTGTGTGTCTGTCTGTGTGTGTATATATATATCAGCCCCCCGCTTATCCTATTCTTCTCCGCGATGCCCGTGGTAGCCGGTAGGTCGCTGCATGCATCTCTAATCTCTCGTATATAATCATTTATTACAATTCATTATTCAGAGCCCTATTCTGTGAATTAATGTGTACGTGATCTATTCAATTTATGTCCATGTTAAAACTCTCTGAATCTCTTTATACACATATAATTTATTTATTTATTACGACACCTTCACCTATATGTTAAAGTCATAGGGTCGTATTATATCTAGCTATATACCTACGATATAATGAAAGGAAAGTAACATATCTCTTTCAATAGTACATAGATAGGTACAAACCAAGTTAAGTAGACCTATCGGTACAGTTTACATGTTGTATTTTATATAGTACTTCTGTTGTGTCCAGTCCTCCGCAGATACCGTCCCCTCCGTCGGTGAGTAGTAGTACCTCGGTCGGTGTACCCGGGACGGGGGGAGGTGCGGGGGGTGGTGCGGGTGTACCTCGAGCCGGCACCAGGGAGGTCCACAACAAGCTGGAGAAGAACCGGCGAGCTCACCTCAAGGAGTGCTTCGAGCTGCTCAAGAGACAGCTGCCCGCCGCCGGGGACGACAAGAAGACATCCAACCTGTCCATACTGGGCTCGGCCATCAGATACATACAGGTGTGTGTGACGTCACACGAATACGATATACATATATATAGTGAGAGGAGGTCGGGGAGATCTGTTGTAATACGATGTACATGTGGCTCGTAGGTGCTGCGGCGGAAGGAGCGCGAGTGTGAGCACGAGATGGAGAGGCTGGCGCGGGAGAAGATCGCCGCGCAACAGAGGCTGGCGGGACTGAGGAGGGACGCCGCGGTGAGGGGGCGGAGGCTCGCGGGGCCCGACGACGACCTGCTCGCGATAGGGATACCGCTCAACGTGAGTCACACATACAGCTGATGCGAACGATCACACCTTACACTGACAGCGACCAACAGCGAATGTATGGAGACTAACCTCAAGGCGTCTAACCCTCGTGCCGGTGTGTTCCAGGCGGCTGCACCCCCTCCCGCCGCCCCGCCCGCCCCGGCCGGCCCCCCCGCGCCCCCCGCTGGCTCGGTCCGCGCTGACTCCCCGCCGCGCTCGTTGAACCTGAGCACCAAGCTGAGGCCGCTGCCCATACAGATTACACCGACCACCTCCGCGCAAGTGGTGAGTGAAACACACACACACACACACTAAAAGACACATATAAACCATCTGTACCGGCAAACGTTGTTTTGACATATAAAAACATAAGGGTTGGTTATAAAAAATGAAAAATTTTGTCCACAAAATAAATTGTAGGGTGAATACATACTAAATATAATAAAATAGGTAAAAATCGGTAAAGCCGTTTCGGAGGAGTACAGTAACTAACATTGTGACATGGAAATTGTATATGTATTTTATATAACTGTATGTATGTATACAGAGTGTAGAGGAGCCCGGTGTGACGTCATCACTGAACAGTTTAGTACGACCAGCTCAGATACACCTGCCGCTGTCACAGGTGAGCAGCAGTCGTTATACAGATCGTTATATACAGTTGTTACTAGTCGTGATCAGTCGTTATAATGTTGGTGGTGATGGCAGGTGGTGGCCGGCGGTGGGCTGGTGGTGGGTCCCGCGCTGCAGCTGCTGCCGGCCGGGCTACGTGTGCTGCATAATGGTAATGACCACTTCATATAATAATATAGTATGCGTTTCTTCCCACATTATTCATGTATAATTAATTAGTTTAATATTAAAAACTGTATCCCTAATCGTAGTTGAAGTTGTTGAAAAGTAGGCGAAACGTCGGGAGTATGTACGTTAAATAATAAATATCGCGTAGTAAATCAGAAAATATAAATTTTGTTGCTTTTGGTCGAAAATATTATGCCGAAATCAACAGCGTGTAAGCCAATATGAAATGAGCTCTTATATCCAAATCATTCTTTATAATTTAAGCTCTGATTCGGTAGCTATGTTTCAAAACAACTTCTTTACCCAGTAATATCCCTATTGGTTTTATTCTCCTATAAATTAATTTTAATGTCTGATGATGACTTTATGTAAAAATTTCGATCTACGGAGGTTATTGACCTCTGACCAAGGTAACTTCACCGTACACCATATTCAGCATTTAAATACATCAACGATGTTGTTTTATTTATAATCCAGATTGATTTGCTGATTATATTTGATAATGATTTAAAAACAGAGAGAACACTTGCAAATAAAACAATCGTAAGAAAATGAACAATAAATATGAGTTATGACTGACCTTTTTGGTTAAAATTATTAAACACTAGCTTTCCGCCCGCAGCTTCGCCCGCGTGGAGTTCGGTTACATCGCGTTTCCAAGAGAAACTTTCAAAAGTGGGATAAAAACTATCCTATGTTCTTTCTCAAGGCCAACTCTATCTCTGTACCAAATTTCATTCAAATCAGTTCAGTGGTATAGGCGTGAAAGCGTAACAGACAGACAGACAGAGTTTCGCATTTATAATATTAGTAGGGATAAAAAAAATGATTAACTATATTAAAAGTTTACGATATTTTTTGCGTTATCAATTCCATAGATTTCAGATGAAATATTGTTTCACAAAATTAGACAATACATATTGAACTTATTTTCACTTACTCTATAAACAGTTTACCAAGATATATTTTGTTATTTATACATGTGTCTGTTTATTTTGAAGGTGTAACAACGGATAGCAATAAAATGACTAAAGAGAACGGGATCGTGACGCGTCCACCTACATCATCAGGTAGGAACAAACATCCACATACTATCATACATATAGGGGAGAGTTGGTTATATCGTACTAGCATTTAAATCGTACCACCTCTTAATTTCCCATTTAATGAATATTTTTTTCTACACTGACAACGCCAAATCGTGGCCCTGTACCATCCCTCTTCACCCACTAGTTTACATCGACGTGAGTTAACAACTGTGCACGTAATAAAAAAAAACATTTTTTGTAGGAATTAAAATAAATATTGTCGTACATTCGTAAGGAGATAACTCGTAATCAAGGTACGCTATAGTTATTCAGTTTTTTTTATTATTCCACAATTGTATACTAGATTATTGGGGGTTTTTGTTGCATGTCTAAGTTTTGAGTTTATGCCGGATATTTGCTTTTGTTTTAGAAATGCCTTAGTTGGTTTAATCGTACCACTTGCAGTTGGTTAAATTGTACTGGTACGATTTACCCGACTACCAACCGCAAGTACCTATAGTACTACCACAAGTACGTATAGTAAGTACTACCCAAGGCCAAAAACAAAAGTTATAAGAGGAAACGATCTCATCCCATCACCAGTAGCGATGATTCAGGAGAGACACTTGTTGTAGAACTAGATGATGATGATGACAGCGATGATTATCTTGAAATATATGTCGAAAGTGCAATTGTTCTTACTACGATAAGAAGGGTCCAAAAGTTGATTCGATTCAATGCGTTCGCTGTAAACGGTGGCTACATGAGACGTGTACTTCGAATTTTTGAAAACATTTGTCATGATTGTTTCCATTAAGAAATATGCACAATAATTATATTACAAATAACATTCTTGTTAACTGTTACTTTATTATTATAGTTTACTGTTTTTTTTTTGTCTCATTTTTATTAGTTATATTGATTGATCTCATTATCATAGTATAATCATGTTATTTTACTGAGAAAGCTTATAGTTCCTATATATAACCTAAGAGTTAAAAATTATGTTTCTATTACCTAAAAGATATAAATAATGTTGTTTTATTACTTACCTAACAGTCAAAAATAAATAATTTGATTGAGAATTTTAATGTCTTTCATTCAGTGGTACGACTTAAACACCCATGGTACGATTTAAAGACTTAGTGGTACGATTAAAACGACTAGTCGGCTAAATCGTACCGATGGCAAGCCTCTATAAAAAAGCATTTTTAACAATGTTAGAATAATCGCAAGGATCTGTTCTCTTCTTCTTAGGAAGCTAAAATATGAAACTTTATTTTACATATGTATTCATTATTATAAGACGTGTTATAGTCGAAATATTTGAGTTAAAGTGAAAAGTGGTACGATATATCCGACTCTCCCCTATATATGTTACCGGAAAATAACAAGACTCGTAAGTTGATCAATTTTCTAGGTAGTTGATCAACTCTCGGAAAATAATAAACCGCAGTTGAAATGTACTATTTAACGCATTTATTTTAGGTAATTGGTCAACTTACGGTACCTAGCCGTAATTTAATAATTAACTATATGCTACAAGTAAAATCATCCACGAATGGGCCAATCGTTGCCCAGTCTACTATTTGACGTACACTATTATCCGTCACTTAATAAACAACCTAACCAATCAACGTACACCTTGCCTTTGTCGGATGATTTAACGGCAAGACGCCGTAAATTAATCAACTTACTAGAAATAAATGCGTTAAATAGTACATTTCAACTGCGGTTTATTATTTTCCGAGAGTTGATCAACTACCTAGAAAATTTATTAACTTACGAGTCTTGTTATTTTCCGGTGACATATACATACATAATATAACCATATATAATGAACCGTTATCTGTTACAGATGGTGTACTGGTGAGCGGTCTCGGTCCGCTGGTGATGTCGCCGCCTCACACGCACACACACACGCACGTGTTGCACACGCACACGCTCACACACAAGGTAACTTACTCTCCCCTCCTCCCCCCATCACGTCTCTCGCTATGTGTATATATATATAAGGTCGCGTGTCGTGTTCCCAGGTAGTCGAGGGCGGTGTCCCGCTGGCTGTGAGCGCGCAGTACCTGTCAACGGCCATCGTGAAGCCGGTGGTGGTTGTGTCCAGCCACGAGCCGCGCCGCACGTGACAGGAACACACACACATACATACATATGATGACTACACACCAATATTATATATTACATTACTATACACATACATGTTACAATGTAAAATCGCTGGATAGTTTATAATGTATTGTAATATTATATATGTATACATATATGTATGTGTGTATATATATATATATATATATATGTATAAATATATAAAACTAAATGTAATTTCCAGTCAGTAAGTTCATTCAACGCGAGTACCGACCGATGTGTGTGTGTGATAGAGCGCGCGCGCGTGTGTGTGTGTATGTGAGTGTATGTATGTGTGTCTCGTTGTTACGGCTGTGCGTTAACTTGTTAGATGGTTGTCGCGAACTTCTGTTCACTGCCTAAACTATGAAGCAATAATCGTCGTTCGGACATTGTTGACGTGAGTGTCTAGTGTCCTAGTGTCTAGTGTCTAATGTCTTATGTCTTTATGTCCAGTGAGTAACAACCAACTCTGTATATATAGTCCGAACAAACTCGGCTCAACACAATACAACAACAACACATCACGACCAGACACTAGCACGCATATATTATATACAATACAAATGATAATATTAGAGTCAAGAGTTAGAAGTGGATGTTATATAATAAGATTATTATCAAACCATTGTCTGTTGTTCTTGATTGGAGCGACTGGAACAGGGAGCAAATATTATATATGAATGTAGAATGTACCGCTGATGATGAATACACGTCCACACCCAGCCCACACCCAGCTCACAGCAAGCTCACACCAAGCTCTGTGTATAGTACTTGTTATGTACAGACAAACAGGATAGAGTTTATTTTTTCTATATACATATATATATCTGTGATGTGCGTGTTGTCAATTCGTGTGTAAGGTGTGGGCCCGCCGCCGCTGACCGACCCGGTCTACACGAGCATATTATTTTACGCATAACTTTAGTTAAATTTTACTAAGCACAAGTGACATGTTAACATATTTATATATTTATAATGATGTAACATATATGTATGTATATACAGCGGCGGTTTGTATGCTACACAAGACTGACGGTCACACAACAAACGGAACACTCATTTCTTTCTTGTTGTTTATTCGATTTTTTTTGGGTCAATGACCTCTATACTAAAAGTTACAACATATAATTCTTCTGATGTCAATTCTGCTTCATTTCTGTATATTTCTTCGAGCAGTTCGGTGCAGTTTCTATTCTCTCCCTGTTTTGTCCAATCTACAATCCAATCCCCTCCAATTTATAATGAGTTGTGACACGTTTCGGTATTCAAAGGAAGGCTAGTGACAATAAATCATATGTATATGTACACTAGTGTTGGTCACACTAGTGTTGTTCCCGACTCGATATATTGTTCGTAGAGCAGCTGCTGCTGTATATATATATGTATGTATTTATGTATGTATGTATATAAGTAGAGCTTTAATATAAACGCCGGCGCGTGCCAGCCCGCGGGCCGTCCTACTAGTGTGCCTGTAACCTTCTTGTAATATTGTCAAATCATTGATATATCTGAATACTGTTATACATATTAATACAGATATGAATACATTGTTGACGGATTTGCTATTGTTAAGTTTGGTCACCAGTCCGCCTGTGTGTTGGACGAGTCAAAGTGTCGCATGACGTCACGTGACGCCACGTCACGTCACGTCACGTCACGTCACGTCACGTCAATCAGTCGTATGAACCGAGCCGTGCCAATGTCTCGCGCAGACAGACCTGACTTGTTTGTATATTGTGAAATTGGTTTAAATGTAATTATCAGTTCCAAACGATGAGCTTAATAATATCAGAGTTCATATTATTTTTATATTCGAAGGCACTCGAATGCTTCACGTCGCCTTATAAAGCCTTACATGCAATAAAAAACTAAGTCAAACGACGTTCTTTTATAAGGATATTAAATTAAACATGTTATATTGGTTTTGGAGATGCTGTTTATAATTTTATTGAAATGATATTTTGTTGATTGTAATTATTATTGCTGACTCGCTCTCGAACGATCGGAGGAGAGATACATATTATATTATATATACGTATATATTATATTATATATTCCTTTTATATGGTGGTGGCGACAGTTCCGTCCACTTCATATATCATACAATATTAACACTTTATTAAACGTATTACTTTTAATATTATTTACATAACACAGTGGCCGGAACAGTCGACGCCATATAAAACTATTAGCTTGGAAGTATTTGTCAGATCGCCTAATGAATACTGTAGAAATGAGAATTGTATAAATATTATAAAATTTAAGAGAGATAAAAAAAGTTATTTTAATTTTATTAATATTGCGATGCGAATGCTTATTATGTAAATATAATATCTTAGTGTATAAAATACTGATATGTTAGAAATACAGGAAAATACATATTTATATGAAGACTTTTATTTTATAGTTATAGTGTGGAGGAAGTGGAATGATTCGACTACAACTCATTTTAAATTATGTAAAGTCTCTGAAATTTATTTGTTAAACATTTCAACATTAAATAATAATAACAATCATTCACAAATTTTAATGAGACGAAACCTCTCATCATTCCATGTATTCACCTTGCGGGTGTCGGGTCCATCGTTGTAGTGAGAGCAGATTCAACAGTGACTGTGACTTGTGACCCAGGTGTAGGTTTAAGGGACCTCTTACTAACGCGTTAAACGCTCACCTTCAGTGTCCAAGCTCCTCTCCTTTCCTAAACAAATTTGAAAAGAACCTACTAGGGCTGCCCTCGAAGTACGTTCCAAGAATGAATTAATGTTAGTTCTGGACAGACCCAAGTCTTTTAGTGGGTTGTAGAGAGATTTAGCTGTTATACCTCTCGCTCCCACTTCTGCCGCGTACAAATCAACGACGAACCTATTCCTAGTGAGCTCGTAATATTTATTGACCTTGATGGTATGGTCTTTGGGGATGTTGGTTTTCCAAGGAACCGTAAGCATTATCATTATTGCACGCTTTAAAATCTAACGAGTGGAATAATGAATTTTGAGCCTAGGTTTCCAACTGCTGTGGCATCTTAACAAAAATAGCTATTAAATGTGAGAAGATTTTTGATTATCGTTTTCCGTCAGTTAGCCCGCATGTTATATATCCACGTGTGACATATTCTCGTCTAAAATTAGATCTTACAGAGTAATGTGGAAGGTTATCATGGCTGGGTTGTATGACCACTGTAAGTTGAACTCTGAACAACTTCCGTGGGCATACAGAATATAGATGAACGAAGGAAAGTCAAGAAATATGACTTAGTACAAAAAATATTAGAAAAATATTAAATAGACACTCGGATAAAACGATAGACAATCGTCTTTAAATTGAAAGGTTCAAAATTTATTTTTGAATAAATTTAAATCTGTTTTAAAACCCGGGTTCGGATATATTTCAAACTAGGAAGGGTGACTTTTGAACAACGTAACTTTGATCATTGTTTTAATCAATTAATATCGCGAAATTGTCAGAATCTATTTATATAAATATATTACTGAATTCCTATTTAAAATGTTAGAAATATGACCATATTTGGGTTAATAAATAGACAAGTAGAGGACTTACAATCAAATTAATATTCCGGTAGCTATAAGTATAGGTCGATATTATTCGTTTGGGTCTTTTGAAATCGTTTAGGTGCTACGGAGTTTTTATAGGAAAATTGCAATATCAGTAATAAAATGAACAATGTACGATGCTTGTATATGCGTTATCAACTGACGACATAAATATTTGAAGAGGAACGCGAAATATTCCGTATGATACAAAACATAATAATACTGAAAAACACTTGTTTGGATTAATGAAAATAAACAGCCTTGTAAAAATCATCGTACAACATAAGACTGTTGAAATTGCGAAAACAAAAGTAGATGTCATTGATTATTTAATATTTTTTTCCGTGTTCCGTCCGGAAATGTTTATCCAGCGTTAAATAATCTTGATAATAAAAACTGTTAAACTAATTCAAACAAACTCCAAGGCGCTCTTTATCAGACGTTAATGTTTTCTACGTACATCCATTATCTGAATGAGTAACGAGTCGCGTCGCTTGTATACCAACAGTTGTCTTATAAATACCAGCCTTCATTCAAGAAACATCACATACTTCCAGACCTCTGTGGCTCTGTGTTGACAAGTTCAATCGTTTGCCTTCAATATATTCATGATGGCGCTCTTACAAGTAATGTTATACATGTGTGTTGTCAGTTCCATCACCGCTCTGCCTGTCGATGATGATGATGTCGTGATAGTTGGTGATGACTCCAATGCTATTGAAGATTCGGATGTCATTGACCTGTCGGGTTTGGGTCCTGAAGCGTTCACCTACCCCAAAAACGAAAGTGGTGAGCAATGAATAGATTTTTCATGGATTGATTTATTTGAACTTGTCTTTTCGTTACTAGGATAGTAGTCAATTGAAGAGGCTATAGGTCCCATAGAGTCAGATATTTTATTAATTCAATGAAGACAATTTGGATTGCAGTTTTTATGAAGAATAGTTATGTTTGTTTAATACATATATTGCTTGTTATAGTATTGAGGACTTTTAGAAAAGGAGTCCATCCAAAAACTTGTAATAATTACCAAATTTTTTCATGTTGAAATAATAATTTGAATATAACATACTAGCTTTCCGCCCTCAGCTTCGCCTGTGTGGAGGTCGATTATATCGCGTTTCCAAGAGAACCTTTCAAAAGTCTGGGATAAAAACTATCCTATGTTCTTTCTCAAGGTCAACTCTATCTCTGTACCAAATTTCATTAAAATCAGTTCAGTGGTTTAGGCGTGAAAGCGTAACAGACAGACAGACAGAGTTACTTTCGCATTTATAATATTAGTAGGGATTTGTTGAAAGGCTGGCTTTGATCGCAACTGACGTCCAACATCATCCAGCTTCCATTGAGTCTTGAAGTATCATGATAATTAAAAACATTGATAGATTCATTGACAATAATTTCTAGAATGAAGCAGAATATTAAATGTGTTATATTTTGGTTAATAGTTATTGGTAGCAGAACGAGTTAACCTGAATAACATGCAATTGATTGCTGTTTATGACTTCCTCTGTTTTATTATGTTAAGAGTCGTTAATACTCTGATAGATAAACCAACTTAAGCTTGCGAATTAACCTATAAGGTATAATTAAGACATTTGACATGCTTTAACAACGGTGAAGCAGCTTCAGTAACTAAGACCATCATCATCATCAGCCTATCAGAGGCCACTGATGAGCAAAAGGCCTTTTCTTACTTGGAAAAGATATGAACATTAATCACCACGTTTCAAACTTATCATTGGAAATTATAAGGCCAGGTTTCCTCACGATGTTTTCCTTCACCGTCTGTCAGTGGTGTCTAAATACTCTCAGAAAGTATATATGACGTAGAAAAATCACATTGGTTCTTGCCAGGTTTCGAACCCGCGCCCTAAGACGACATAAGAATTTGTAGTATGATTTAATATATGATTTGTAGGGGACGCATTAGCGACGTGGTCGGAGTCATCGCTGATGAATCCTGAGGAGATGAGCTTCTATGGCGAGGGTGACATCCTGATACCCACCTACATGAGGAACGCGGTCCGTGATCAGACTTCGCGATGGCCGAACGGTCACATCCCTTACCTTATAGAGGGGAACTTCAGTGAGTAAATTGTTCTTCGTTCTCGTACAAAAATCATAATCTTACTCATAAGAAGCAGTGCTTATTTTTGCAGTCACCCTGCTTTGGAATTTATTTAATCCATTAATTTGAAAAGCTATAACTATAAATAATCTGAATCACAAAATAAGTTACATATAAAGTTTAGGCTCTAAATATTCAATTCAACGTTATTGAACGATTTCAGATCAAGACCAACGTGACAACATAATGAAGGCCATAGCTGACTACCATCGACTGACGTGCCTCCGCTTCATCCCTTACAAAGGACAGAAAGATTACATCGTGTTCAAGAGCGCCAACACCGGCTGCTGGTCCAGTGTTGGACGATTAGGTTAACTATATAAAATTCAATAGATTTCTGAAAAATTACAAGTTTTGTGAAAGAAATTCTAAGGTACCTCTTAATGCTTGTTATTTCTAGGTGGTCGCCAAGAAGTGAACCTCCAAACACCAGGCTGTGTGTCCAAAAAGGGTACCGTCCTCCACGAAATATTACACGCGGTTGGCTTCATTCACGAGCAGAGTCGACCGGAGAGAGACGACTTCGTGAAGATCAATTACAATAACATCAGAAGCGGTGAGTGGACACACACTGGACTTAATATACACAGAGATAAATTACGAGACTAAATAATGTTTTCTTAACTTTAAGGTTCTGAAGGAAATTTCAAGAAGTCTGATTCCAAACGCGTCGCCGACCTCGGTATACCGTACGATTACAACAGCGTCATGCATTACTCTGAATACGCGTTCTCGAAGAATTCAAAGAAAACCATCGAACCTAAGGTAACAAAATATACGTATAGCTTTATGTTCCTTGATAAACGAATGATAAACTGATTGAATGATTTCAGACGGGAGGCATGAAGGTTGGACAAAGGGAAGGTTTAAGTCGCGGAGATGTGAAGAAAGTCAATGCGATGTACAACTGTAAAAAAGAGTTAGTTTTGACTTCTATTTGTTTATATAAGTTGTATGTTTTAATGAGATTGTTTATTAATATTGTTATAATTCACAGGGAACCTCAAACTGGCTGGGTCGGCTCTATCTGGCAGTCAATATTTGGATGATAATCTTATTATTTGATTCACATGTCATCTTAATAATTTAATTTATGTAAACTTGTATAAGCTCTAAGTTATTCTTCAGACGTTATGACGTTTTCATGACATATATAAATAAATTATTTGTAATAATATTCGTCTTTTATTTATTTCTTCATAAACCGTATATTTGAATCATTATGAAGGTATGAAGTGGGGAGAATAAGATAACTATGTACTGTTTCAAACTAATCTATTATAATTTCTACTGATATATTTGTTACAATTGTTTCCTTAATATTCGTCATTTAATATTCTTGTTTTCGTCGTTTCTCGTCTGCCTGTGTTTATGCAGTGTCGTACTTGTTGATGATCATCTCCATCAAACATTTTAAGTACTGATACGACCTCTCACACTTACATGTCTCAGCTGTAACAAACAAATTATACACATTTTATTAGTATCTTCAAAGTATTATTTAACTTCACATGTCTAAAACGTTTGCCCTTTTTATTTAATTTATAGTATAGTGTGAGAAGATTTATGACTGAGAAACTGGGGAATCTCCAATGCATGAATATCTCGAGTCGACTCTCATTTTCCATTCAACATTTCTAACTTAACCAATTCCAAAGATTTTTTTTTTATATTTTTTTAAAGTAATAATCCAATACATCTACAATTTCTAGTTCTCACATTCATTAATTTATACGTAATTAAAAATAAAATATATAATTCTTAAAATTCAGTTTTGTCATAGACATAAAAGAATTTCAGTTTATTTAAAGCTAGGCGTAGAACTTTCGAGACTAGATCTCTATTTAGTGAAGGGTTTCGATCCAACGAACTGGACTTTATAGATGAACCTAAATGTATCTTAAGACATCCAGAATGACGGACAATCAACGCAAGGAAAATTATGGATATAAGCTAGATTATGTAACTCATAATAAAACATATTAACATCTGTCAGAGCATGTGGTCGCCATCTTGACCAGGTCATCATGAGGCAGGACCCTGATCTGTCTGAAGACATCAGCTGTTCGTGACACGTCGAACTGACTGTCAGTGGAGGCTACCTCAGACTTCTCCAACATACAGCGGAGGAAACACTAGAAATAATACATATTATTATATTTATTATACATTCATCTTTATAAGAAAATCCAAAAATTTGTAGGGATATAGTTAGTATCTAGTAGTGGCGTACCTTTGGCGTACGATCCGTTTCGTCCGGGAAACTCCCGCTTGTATTGAGACTCTCCAAGTAATCTGTAACAAAAGTATCTATTAATAAACGTTGCTTTAAACTCAAAACACTGAAGAATCCTTTACAAGATTGTTTTCAATGAAATAGTATTAATAAAAAGGAAGAAAGAGGAAATTTTGAAGGAAAATCCATTACTATTGATTCAGGATAGCTCGTTACTCGTAACCATTACGCAGTAAGAACTTCAATTAGGTATTAAACACTTGTACGTCTAATATCGTGAAATAGGGTGGATGTAACATATCAATATAGTTTTATTAGCAAATAAACATATATATAAAAGTGTTACACTTGTATTAACTTACACATTTCAATACGGAATGTTTCGTTACATTCAGCCATAATCGGTATCAGATCGTTGCTGATTTTGTCCATTTGTTCCTCCATCGAATTAGGAGTAGTAGATGTTAGCTCCTCCTTCATTTTATTCTGGACCTTCTCTGCCCTGGGAACGCATTTCGTTAATGTGATCGTGATCACGGTAACAGCTGCCGCTACTAACACTCTCATGTTGAACGACGCGGTATACTGTAGTATACAACTGTAGTTGTATATTCTACTACAGTCCGGACATGATTTTATACAACAAGATGACAGAAGTGCGATACTGTAAATGAAATTTAAATGAAATTATTGAACTTATTTTTTAAATGTGACACAAAATTAAAGATGCATCTGAAACTAAGCTATTTAATGTATATTAGTGCAGTCTGAAGATATTCACTTGGACGTAAGCTAATAATCAAAGTAAAGAGCATTAGTTGAAAAAAAATAGTGTCTTTTAGAGATGTTATTCTATTTTAATTTGTTTAGTTATTCATGAGTAGATTGTACATTACAACTTTTATTTTTTTCGTCTAGATGTTAAACTTGGTGTTCATTATTTTCACATCAACCAAAACATGAAGTATTTCTGACATTATTATGTCAATTAAACATTACTATGATCTGTTTAATGAAGGCTTAATTCCTTCCGTTATTTCCTTTATAACCTTATAATAACGGAATTTGTCTCGCGTGAGGACAGCTATCATGAAAATATAATGTACTGATTATAACACATCAACATCTGATGATCTGAAATTTGATTTTTTTGCACTGCTTATCTTTAACGGATTTCCAGTTTATATGTTGGTCTGTTAAACTTTTATTCAGAAACTAGGCTAATATATTATTCATTTAGTCGATTCTCTTGAAAACTTGTGATTAGAATTCACTTCTTATAAATCAAAAATACGAAAGAAAGTGATGACTGATCTTGATAACATTTGATCATATTGTAAAGAAGACTGATGAAAATTTGAAAAACAAATTATTTTTTGCTAGGAACTGTAATATTTTATACAATTCTTTACATTTATCTATGATTGTAAGATCTTGGAGTTTGGTGGTCACCGAAGAACTATTATGTTTGTTTCATGTTCATTGTCATGATGGCCAGTTTAGGTTGTTTTATCATTTAGGTCTTTCGTTATTTTAAATTTTAATAATAAAAATCCTATTCCAATCACATTTAGCAGGATGCATACGGCAACTAGCATTGTTTTTGGAGTCATAAACCAGAATTCAGTAGAAATACCCGTTTTCTCTCAAGCAATGACTGTGGCTGATTAGTCTACAATATTTATTCTTCACAATATTTTGGAAGTCATTTCTTGTAACCACGTCTCCTTGTTGCCTTATTTTCTCAGTATATGTCAAAAAGGGCAAACTTGAGTTGCTTTATACATATAATCATAAAGCGACGTTTAAAATTTGTATGTAAAAAGAATAATAAACAAATTAAATCTGGAAATGAAATAGATTTATATTTGTATTATTAATTTTTATTTATATATTGAATTTTAGATGTCGTGTGGTTGAGACGGGATGAGAGAAAAAATAAGGAGATTATTTTGCCAAAAGTGGTGAGGACGCTAGCCGTCTGGTAAATCTATTGTTTTCGCAAAAAAATATTACACAGTTTGAAAAAAAAAAATATTTTTTTTTCATTTATATTGGAATCGTGTAATATTCTGCTAATGTCAACGTTTTTATTTGGTGGACGAATTTTAATCTTGAATACTGTGTTGAAGTAACACAGGCTAATTGTTTGTTTAATGAGTACGAAAACTATTTTTATTTGACAAATTTCAAAGAAGCACAAATAAGTATTATTTTGTTAAAATGCCAGATCCAACTTTAAAAATTAATCGTTGTCTAAGTTGAATTTCAGCACAGTTTAAATTTTAAAAGGTCATATATATTTTACAAGATATAAAATAAACAAAACTTTAGTTAATTGTTTTCTATTCTGTTAGTTTCGGAAAAGGAAATAATTATCGTTATCTTAACGAGTCAGCAACATTATTTAAACATAAACTCACTGCCTAGTCTTACAGCTACAGTAACTCAGGCTTTCAGACTAGACGTCGGATATGTTCAGAATGAGGGCCGTTCTAGTATTTCTTTTACCATATATTTTTCTTGTTAACAGCCAAGGTAAATATTAATAATATTCATGTATTTGTCATGGTATCTTAATATAATACAAAACATGTTTTTAGATGACGTATCTGTGTCTGATGTCAATGCAAACACATTTGATGCAGTGTCTTATCTTTTCTCGCATGTGCTGAACTTACTCCGGGAGAAACCTGAAATATTGGAACGAGATGACGTGACTGTCTTCATCGAGGATCTCACTGATGATAGGAAACATTATGATGATACTTCTCTGTCTGAGAATGGAGTTAAAATGTTTCCAGACAATAACGCTAACAGTTTTGTAGGCGTCCAACAATCGACGTTCGGTTTAACTCCACAGGAAGTTGCTGAACAAGTTTTGAAAGTGGAAAAAATATTGGAGGAACATAATAAAAGTCAATAAAGAGTTCATTACATAAAAAATAGTTTCAATCACCCCTATTACAAAATACTTAAAGTTAAAAAGTAACTTTGTTTCTTTAAACATTGCTTTCAACTAAGCACCTTATAATATTATTTTCCTTAACAGTAAGGAAGGCATCTTTTATACAATATAACTGAGTCTTAAAACATTTTAAAACTGAGTGTTTGAATATACAATGAGGTTTGTGATTTAAAAATAAAGTTACATCAAAGTTATACTAAGAGAGAATACTTATATGAACGACTTTAACAACGCTCTCATGCAATTGATTCTTGTGATTTTATTTTACAAACATGCAGAAGTAAATAAGTTTGCAAAAAGTTAAACAAGAATAAACATGTTTACTGCAGACTTATTATTCAGTGGAGCCTTAGCAATTATTATAGACGATTGAAATGAGAGCCATGCCGGTAGATCAATGATGTTGGTTTTTAAAAGTGAACGAAAAAATATTTTATTATGTAATTTATACATAACGAAACATTTTCTTTTGAGCATTCGATTTTTTTTTGTCCACTAACAAATCTACATTCAAAATTGTTAGGTTGTTTGTTTGTTACGTATGCGCTTCGTATTGGAAAATAAATAAACATCGCCGCGGCAATCTTTGTATGCATAAAATATCATATAACGAGTGACGCTGCTGACTCCGCGAAACGAACATCAATCCGTATGAACCAGAAGATTCCTGATACCACACAAGCTATGGAATGGTATTGCTATTTTAACATCGGGTCAATCATGTAGTCTTACGTGTAGGTTATAAGTTTTAATATGTAATTCTTATTATAATATACATACATGTTTCGTAGTTTTCCTGGAACCTCTGGTTGCCATCCTATATAATATGTTTGGTCAAGCTTAATATAAATAAAAAAATCAAATAGCCGATAGAAAATTCCTACTTGTGCTATGTGCTGTCTTTAAGAGGTCAAACTATTATTGAGAGGTATGAATGTTATCGTGTTTATGTGCCAATTGATAAACATTAATTTGAGTGAACTACCACTTTTACTTTGAACAAAAACTAACAAACTAATTCATATTATCCTAATAAATTAATGATCCTTTTTTATTCCTTCATTGTATTAACATAATGTTTAAAGTTTGTAAAAGGTTAATTTTCCAGTCATTGCATCATTGTCAGATGTATCTCGTATCTCGTTTGTCAAATGGAAGTTAATTCAATTGAACACTTAAAACCATTAAAAACTTGCAATCAATATCAAATTAAATGTAATAATAATTGTTTTCAGAAACTAATCATGTATAATTAGCAACATGTTAAATGAAATATGCAACGTTTTTAAAAACAACAACAAGAAAATAGAACTCTTCAGTAATTGATAACTTCCCGCAGGAAACTTGTATAGATAACTTTTGATACATAACGAGTGAGCAAGAAAAATTCAGAATAAATAGCACTTTCCAAGTGTATATTTTTGTTGTCTTTCGTTGTAGTACAAACAATAATGTGTGCTAAGAAATATATTTTTGCTGTTTTTATTTTGTTGGTGGTGAATGCAATTCTTGCGATGCACATCACTGAAGATAATATAAAAGGTTCTAAACAAGTGTCTTATGAAGAAGAAAACTCACTACAAGATGGTAATACATTTGGATATAAGAGAAGTCAGTATGAACCATCTAACAGAGTCAGGAGACAAATTTCACCATCACCAGATTCTAAAATGTTGATCGGCACCTTCCAAGCTATCATGCGACCTCTCACTGCTGATGGAAACATATTGGATAGTTACAAGGTTGATACACAAAATACTACTGACCCCGCCGAATAATATGTTATAAAAATATATATTTTACGTTTCACTGGATATATGTAACTGCTGTGTTAATTTCTCAGAATATTTCGTTCATTAAATGTAAAAAATCTCTTGCGGTGTATTATTCACATTAACCCATGTGATCAGAGGAATATTATTATGTAAGTATGAGTATACTATTGTTCTAGATATTTACTATTGATATAATTATTACATATATTGAAACTGCTTGGTCTGTGTATTACATGTCGATTAAAAGCCTACTGGAGTGGGGAGGTTAAGGAAATGATGATCGGAAGGGCAAAGAAAGCTGACATTTAATAAACAATAACTATTTTGCTTAGCTTTTGACGTGTGTCCATGATACACATTTCCTATTCATACTGTATTCAAAAGTAAATTCTTCTTAACTATATACATAAAAATATTATTTGTAACATACTACATATAATGATCTAGTTAAAGTCATTGAGGTCGAAGGAATATGAATGAGTATTGAGGGTTAAATGTTATCACAAGTTGTTTCTATTTGACTTTTGTTATGATTGATGCCGAGTTTAATACAAATATTGTCTTTGGAACATCAGCCCTTATATTTATTTTGAACTATTGTTCTTTCTAAATAAATCATTCATCGAACTGAAGCTAATTTAATGATTGTTAATTATTCAAATTAGAATTATTCTATTTTTGAAGTAAATGATTAGATATGATTTTCTCAATTCATAATTACAATTATGTTGATGATGATGAAAACCTATATCTTTATTGTCTTTTAATCAATAAAGATTAAATAAATAAATAGAATTTATACTTTTAATATTTCTTTATTACTTTCTATTTAAAAATCGCAATAAATCCAATAAAATAAAGTTATCATCACTCTATTAAATTAAAAGTTACTTATTAATTGATGTCACAAACGATTAAGACGTTAATTCACATGCTTTCATAAAATTTAAATTGATTTGTTATAGATAAGAATGTCACCAGAAAACCGACAATCTGTAAAAAAAGATATTATTATAGGTACATATATATACTTAGGATACTATTAAATATTTCTATTAAAATCCGAAATATTTTTGTATATACTTATATTTCTTTTTTTATGGTGTATTTTTTCATATTCTTGTTTGAATATGGTATTATTTATATGAATGTTCGTACCGTAGCAATCAAAGGCCTGTTTAAGTGGCACAAGCCGAGAGGAGTAAAACCTTGTAAATTTAATGTGAACTGCTGGAAAAAGTTGTCCAACTCAAAGTAAAACGCGGTGTTACGACTCATGGTGTTCAATAGTCTGCTCATTACTATCTTCGTGTATTCCATCTAAAATAATAAAATCTACTAATGTTGGCTGTTTTTAATATATGTTATTTTGATATCAATTGAGAACTGTTGTAAGGTGACGTTACCTCTCTGTTCATGCGATGGAAAGGTTCTATAAGCAGCAAGATATCTATTACGTGATTGATCATCCAAAAGAATTCGTAAATAAAAAACTTTACTGACTTTGTCGACTCGTCTGAAATAATGCAACGTTACAATACAATTCACAACCGTAGTGATTGTAAACCACTAAATTGTGATGAAACTAATGTTTTAAACGTGAAGATGTTCACGAGGATGCGTTAGTTTCTTACAGTTTTAGTAACTTGCCTAAACAGTTATAGTATCGCCATATATTGTATGTTGTCACAAAGATACGAGTTATCAGAGCATACAGTATCAACACCAGATATAGTCCCTCGGTCTGCATCAAGTCACTGATCACTTCCCATATAAGTAAGTACGATCCATACAGATTCCTTAAATGCTTGTAATTGCATCTCGACACCACCATCCCGCCTGCTGTATATTGATACATCCAAAATAAATACCCCTGTATTGTTGCTATCTATAATAATATATGTACCAATATATTCGTACCTCCTCGAATAGTAAAAAGCGTTAGTTTCTTATTCAGTGTTTCGGAAGTCAACCGTAGAAGTAAAGCGAGAAAAAAATATTGCAATTGCATCGTCAGTATGATGGTGTGACAAGTGATAATGATGACACTCAAACATATCCCTTCCACTGAAAATAACATATAACAAATGTATAAATGTTTCTTTATGTGATTGACTTAATTAATAGATGGTTTACCATTGGATATAAAATTCTTGAGCTCCTCGATATACAGGCCAGTGATTTGCATGGCCACGTGCATCATGAAAGGTCCAGCCATAATGAGTATTATTTTCAAAGTTGACGGATCAAGTGAGTGGTCGTAGCCGATTTTTCTGCGAATCTAAGTAAATCATACGATAAATAATAAAAATATTACTTTCTCTCTTCATACGTGAATTTAAGCAATAATGTGTATTTCTTTTGAAGTAGTTTCCTAGATAAGTTTGTGTAAGACTTTAAACTCTTAACCAGTGGCGGCTGTACCTTAAGTGCACTCGTGCGCTGAACCACCAATTCAAAGGATTTAAAAATTACAAAATATTACTTCATCTTTATTTTTAAATTACCATTTTAATATTTATTTTTTTAAACATATAAAAACGTATAAAAAATTTAATTTCCTAATTATGATCAAAAAGATTGAGCGCTTTACTAAACTCATATCGCGCGCTTCGGCGAGTGCACGAGGACTTCTAATACATCTTGTATGAGATACGAAATAATACGCCTGACGCGTGAAACAAAAGATCGTTCATAGAAAAGTGCCGAGTAATGAGTCGGCTCTTGAGCGCCGCACGAGCGGCCGAAGATTACCTAGAGCACCCGATGTATGACGAATTGAGCCGTGATTGACATCTCGTTATATTGTTTTGTTGCATTTTCTAATTTTAATATTTTAGTAAAGTGCACCACCGGTTTGATTACCCACCGGCCGCCACTGCTCTTAACTTAAAGTAATGTAGCTACTAAGCAAGTTCGCAGTTGACCTTTAGATTAGTTTGACTTAGTTTTGTAGCTGATAGACCCTAGCTTTGGTCAAGTTACTGAATCTCGAACATGGGCTGGCTCGACCGGGGAAGTACCACCCTCTTACAGAAGAACCGAGTTAAGTAGTTTGTAATGGCTGCGTTTCTTCCGATGAGTAAAATAGCCGGTTGCCTTTTCCTTTTTGCACCCTTTCCTACCCCTTTCATTTTTCCTCAGTTTCCCACTTCTTCCTCCCCCTCTTCCCTAATCAAGGGTGGCAACACATCCGCAATACTATATTGCGGATGTTCATGAGCGATGGTACTACCTCCATCAGGTAGGCCGTCTGCTCAGTTGCCCCCTTTAGCATAAAAAAGTTTGTTTTAGTAAAAAGTCTAGACTCTAGCAACATCGAAGCCAGCTGATATACCTTTTGTATCTGATTCAATATAGACATCAAGTTTCTCATTCTGCCGTGTCCTTTTAATATGACTAAGGTTGTCGTCAACACGTCCGGGGTTCCGACTATCACCAGCAATAAAACTCTTACAAAAGCGTAAGCGAAGTTGAAACGCTGTCTCTCCGACTGTAATATACTGTGATAGAGCAGTATAGTAAGCAGGTCTGAAACAATTAATTGTTCGTACAGCAAAACCGAGATCAGAAGTCAGATACTTTTGCATATTAATTGTATACTTCTTTAAAGTTCTTTCAATACATCTGTGTTGTAACTTACTGATGATGATGGGTAGTGGAGTACCTAGTATGAACAGTATTCTGGACATCGTGATGCGGTACACTCCGTTTCTGACTCTCGTGAAGCGAAGCGGAGCCAACGAGAACAGACGGAAGAAACGTAGCATGGTCAGAACGATCCCGTTCACCTCACACTTAGGTAACGGCTCCCTTACACTCATCTTATTCTGATACATCACGTCTTATTTATATATCAAAGTGTATGAAATTGGAACAATTTATATGCTCTCTATAATCTAATTTCTAGTATTTTTCATGAGCCCTCGAGCTGTTCTTTCAGCTACGCTATATTTATTATAAAGTTTCTTTATTAATATAAATCTTCCATTTTAATTCCCGCTACATAATAGGAGTCATGGCTCGCGGTACTAATAACGGTGTTTGTATTGAACCTTTATGTTCAACATAAAAGACACATCAATTTTAATTGTTATGTGTACTGCTACTGTAATTTGGTACCTTTATTATACTGGCTTCAATATTAGTTAATGGTATGTTCTATTTAGTACACTTGTGTGTGTGAGTGTGTGTGTATATGTATGTGTGTGTTTATTGATATATATATTGATAACAATTTGTCGTTACAAATGTTATGTTTAGTATAGTCATCATAAATTCTCTGAATAAATTTGTTTTCAAATAGTAATATAGATTTTTCTACCATCGTTGCGAGTAGGATTCGAACCTGCAATCTCCAGAATATCGTATTTCATTTACTTTAACAATTAAATCATTCTGTCCTGACTCTAGTTGTCGAATTAAGAATTCCATCTGAAATATCTAATTGAATTTTAAATCAAGTGTTAGTTTAATATTAAAATGTTATTAAAATAAATTTTGATAATATTTTTATTAAATATTATAATTTAATTCGGTCAGCTGCCTGTCGCTGACAGTTCCCTCCGCCGCGCCGTTACTGTGAGCTGTGACATCTTGTATTGTCTGCTGGTCATTTAATTTTGCAACGAATTTATTAAAAGTAAAATGTTGTACATTTTTAATTTAATTATTCTATAAATATACTCGAATCGTTCTTTTGAAATGTTTAAATAAGATTAATTAATTATTTCAAACCATATTTTAACTGTGTTTTTTGTAAATACATATGTATAATTGCATTATCGTCCATTGATTTGTTTCTCTTTGCCCTAATTCGATTAAATTTGATGAAAAGGTCGTATAAAAGTCAATTTAATACAGATTATAATATTAAAAAACTGTTTCATATCACTCCGTATATACAAGTATCAAAAAAGTTTATCTTTCTTTAAATATCACATAATATGCTACATGACAGACTTCAATAGTCAAAAGTACAACTAATGTATTGTTAGACTTAATACATGCTGGTTAGTGTCACAGTTTATATTTAATATAAACGTAAAAATAGTAGCTCTATGTTGATCTCTATAAAATGTAAAAAACGTTGAAAAACAAAAATATTATTAAAAATATTCACATCTCGTTTCTCCGTAATCACGGTTGCTGCAAGAAACCAAAAAAAAATACGTGTAGTAATCCGAAAATGTAAGTTTCATTTAAATGAAAACTCGCGAAATTCTTAAATCTTATTGTACTATAAAAAAGAATTAAAAAATATGACACATTCAGTTGTTAAACTCATTGTAATGTTGTGACTCGTTTTATATAATAATCTACAAGTGGAGGTCTTTTAAATTAAATTGAAGTATTATCAACAAAGATGTTGTCATGGCGCTGATGATCTGAAACACGAATTATAAAAAAAATACATTAATCACAAATATTATTTAAAGTAACTGATATAATGACTCCAACTTTAGTAAAATCTATGTTTTATAATCAAAACTACTCACAGAAACAATTAGCGATCTGTTGAATGTAAATATGTCAAGTGGTGCAAAATGTATTTGACACAATGATATTTGCTCAAAGACTACATGGACACCTCCAAGACGATCTCTGTCATTTGACAGTCTATGAATCTTACATATAATATTATTTATGTTCGATATCTGGAAATACATGAAAATAACGTAAGAAGTCATGTCTACAAAATAGTCTGTTTCACGTAAAATATAGAAGTTTATGTGTGTGACAAATTGAAGCAGAGAAATGTTAGATTCGTGCATAAATATACATGTATTGAAGAAGACACTTTGTGTTTTCTGCGGACGCAGGAACAACTTGTGCTCTCATTTCTTTCGTTCCCTATGTCGTCCTACTTACTTTTATTGATAACTCGATAATGGAGTTCTTGTGTTGAGGAATAGTAAAAAAAAAATATAGTTTTCATACGTGTTGTTCCCTCTATAGATAAATTTCATTACCTGTCTATATCCAAAGTTTTGAAATTGAATTTTAATATAATTAGTAGTAGTATTTTACCTCCTCGTTGAAATGATGACAGTTGTCTATTCTCAAAAACAAACGAAGGCTCACGTAAAACAGCCACGAGGTTTGTATTAATATCTGTGTCATACGAGTTGATGCATCTGAAAGTGTGTGACAGAAAATTAAATTCTAATGTAAGTGTGGATGAGTCTTTTTCGTTTGTTTTAGATACATCAACATTTCAACCATTAGTGCACGATCTAAGCAGTATCAAAGTTCTTAGTCTCTAGTCATGATCTTGTTCATTTACAAATTCCTCTTTACCTAGTTGAGTATAATATCGAAAAAGACATTGGCGAAATCTATAAGGAAACGCCATTAACTAAAAAAGAAGAATTTTAATAGTATTATACGAACCTTGTAGTTGGAAAGCCGACGTTAAATAGTAAATGTTGCAGAAGTTGTAAACATTTTCAATAATAAATATCAGTAGTAACAGAGTACTCTGTGCTTTGTTCATCATCCTGACCATCTCACATAGTGTCAGGTACGAGCCAACAAACCTCATCACAGTACGCTCCTGAAGATGTCTTTTATCTGAAAAGTAAACATTAATCTTACTCTGGTTGAAACATTTGTGTATCAATAAAATGAATTATATTCTTATTAATCTATTTACTCAAATAATGACAAAAAATAAAAATTTTGTTATAATTTTATTAAAGCCATCAATCAAGAATCTTAATCTTAAATTAACTTGAGTTTATGCTCATTAACAAAATTATGAAAACTCAACCTACTTCAAGTTAAACGGTAACAGTTTTCTATTGCGATAGTAGCAAAAGTTTATTAATTTAAATTTCCTTGTATTTGAGACTGATATGAAAGTAACTAATAAGAACAAAGTCTATAAGAATGGTAAACCTCACAATATCTTTAATTTGAAGTTGGTCAAATCACATCAAAAGATTTTATCTTCATCACTACTCACCTTCATATATATTACGAAGTAAAACAGATCGATACACACTTTTAATGCAACACCTTAGAATGATAATTACAAAAATATTATGCATTCCAGCCATTATGATACTTACATCATTAAAATGTAGAGTTATCAAGAATATTACGTATTTGACTGTAATTAAAATTAATTTTATTTATACATATATTCTCCTAAATATTATAAACAACTAGCTTTCCGCCCGCAGCTTCGCCCGCGTGGAGTTATATCGCGTTTCCAAAAGAACCTTTCAAAAGTCTGGGATAAAAACTATTCTATGTTCTTTCTCAAGGTCAACTCCATCTCTTTACTAAATTTCATTAAAATCAGTATAGTGGTTTAGGCGTGAAAGCGTAACAGACAGGCAGAGTTACTTTCGTATTTATAATATTAGTAGGGATCACAAGTAGATACTTACCGCTGTAATTATCATATGACAATGTAATGTCTACAGTACTTATAGTTATAAGTAGTATCGTAAAACAAATGAAATATATTTTCACTCTTCTCAGTGCTTTTCCCAAATAAATGGCGTAATATTTACTGGGAGCTATCTGAAATAAAAATACTCCATGTAGCAAACAATGTTTTTTTCAGAAGTAAAAATATAAAAAACTTGATAAATATAAAGCTGTAATTATTCAAATTATACATTTTAAACTAAATATATTATAAGTAAAGTGCGTTTCTTTTAAAGCACTTTTATCACGACTCAAAGCTGGCTATTAAAAAACTGAAATATAGTGTTATCATATAGAATAACACAGAAACCGATGTACCTTTTGTATTTCATCCAAAAAATTAATCAAATATACGAATTGTTTTGTCGAAGTCATTAACGACACAATAAATATTAACAGGCTGAGTGAAATATGAGTAATTATAATAGCGAGCGATATTTTATTACTTATGCGAGCCACTGTGCTGTATGAATCATCACAAATGATATTGATGAACAAACAGATATTCAGAATCCCTGCAACATAGACAATTATTGCATACATTAAACATATAAAAGATCTGAAATTCAATTCAAAACTTACTTAGACTGGGAAAAAACAAAAGTCTGATAGCGCTCAACACATTCAATGGATTCGATACGCGGTAGATGTTGCCACTGACATGTTTAAGGAATACTGGGTAGAAATAATACTTCCTCATAACATTAAGTGCAGATATTGTTGGTATATTAAGTATGTAACTGTTCTTTTCGTTTGCCATCGCAGCCAAAAAAAAGGATTTTGACTTAAGAATGTTTGAATAAAACTCTTACAACTTCAACGATTTGTTCGAAGTGTTGAAGTGAGTAATAATACTTCGTCAATATGTTGTATATTTAATTATCTTAAGGAATATGTTTTGTTTGTATTTGTCTAATCAATTTTGTATGACGGTTATAGAATTAGACATGATCATGAATAACTTATGATGGGGTTGACTGCTAGTTTAGTTGGGTTTATTTACAAAGGGCATACGTTTTTTATATAATGCTGAAAGTATTAATACCTTTTTATAATTATAAGAAATATTATATTAAAACTCTCTCCCTAAACCTTTATATAATGTTTGTATATTGTATTCAAAATAATGTTACTTTACTTACTTAGTTTATTTGCCTATTAAATTAATATTTATGATGCACAAGGTAACATCATTAATAAAATATGTAAATAAAATAAAGTGAGTTTTTTTTATACATACACGTATTTTAAACGGGAGAAAATTTTAAAACAATTATTAAAGAGAAGTCATGGTGGCCTAGAGGTTAAAGACCCGCCTCTCGTGCAGGAGTGCGCGGGTTCGAAACCTGGCAAGTAGCGATGTGATTTTTCCGAGTCATATGTACTTTCTAAGGGTATT